GGCCATTTTTACCTACCTGTCATATGGGGCCATTTTTACCGGGGCCATTTTTTCCGGGGCCATTATTTCCGGGGCCATTTTTTCTGGGGCCATTTTTTCCGGGGCCATTCTTACCTACATTCGTAGCCTTAACATAAGAACTTACCAACAGCCTTAACATAAGGACTTAAAATGTAGGTGTACACATCTGGCTCATCTGGCCCGTATTGTGCGAGCCGAGTCGTCATTTAATCGTAAATAGAGGTATCTTAGTTTTAAATCAAGATATCTCTATTTAAATATTAAATAGCTATATTCAAAAGATATCTATATTTAAAATTAAGATATATCTATTTTAAATCAAGATATCCAATTAAAACTAAGATATCTATATTAATAGAGATATCTTCGATTTAAATAGAGATATCTCTACTAATAAAGATATCTCTTATTAATAGAGATATCTCTATTTAAAACTAAGATATCCTTATTTAAAATAGAGATATCTCTATTTAAAACTAAGATATCTCTATTTAAAACTATGATATCTCTTTTAACAACGATAATAGAGATATCTTAGTTATAAATAGAGATCTTGGTTTTAAATAGAGAAATCGTAGTTTTAAATAGAGATGTCTTAGTTTTGAATAGAGATATCTCTGTTAATAGAGATATATTTATTAATAGAGATATCTATATTTAAAACTCGGCTCTCCATACCCGTACGCAGGGCCAAATCATCAAAGGTCCACATTTTCCGGAGTAGAAATTCAAGACCCTCTCACACGTTCCAGAAATCCATCCACCAAAACTCTTTCAAATCAGAGAAGTTTACAACTAGGACTGCCTCTAATTTGTCGTACAAGCAAGGACTTTTAACTGTATCATAAGCTTTTGCGGAATTTGAGTGTTTTCACCGCCGCTTGAGTGTCAATAACGCACCACGTACAAAACTCATTACACTAGAATTATCTGTATTCTTGTTTAAGTCTAAAAGTGCCATTTCCGGCTATCTTGAAGTGCTATAATCATAAATGTTCTTGCCTCACCCCCAACCATGGTGGGGGGGGGGGGGCTGAGGTGTAATAGACCCCCAGTGGTGTATTCAAGGGGGCCGAGCCGACCCGGGCCTCCATAAATTTTTGAATGTTATAAAAGAAATGGAGAAAAAACAAAATATACAGTAATTTATAATCAAATTAATATGTGAGAGTTCCATTTCCGGCCATTTATAGGTATCATCATAAATTTTTTGGTGGTGAGCCGCGGCCGGCTGAGGTGGGTGGACCCGGGCCTCTATTTCTGTGAGAGTTCCTCACTGTACACCCCACTCTATTTCGAATTCCTGAATCGATCCGCCACGGCCCCAATGCGTATGTTAAATTCCCTCCCTGGCCCAGTAGAGTGGTGGACTTAATTGCTTTAAAACAACAACAAAGGGATTTATTGCTTTCCCTACCCTGCTCCCAATCAGATCAGTATAGGCTTATTTTGTAAATTCTCGATTTTATATATTTTTGACGTCTACCCCATGATATACGGTAGAGCGCTTGTAATTCTTTGTTCATATTCGCAATTTCCATTAATTTCATTTATTTATAATATGCTGGTAACATTTAAGCCTACATTTATGGTAAAAATTTAGTATTTATAATACTCTAATAATATTATAGGCTTTTTCAGTCATAAGTGCGTTATAGACCTACATTATTTTTTTACGTTTAAATTTATTAATTTTTCATTTTTCTTGTGCTGTAACTTTACATAGTGGGCTATGTTTACATTATGCAGTGAAAATACGAAACACCACGTCGTTGAAAGGCGCGTACGTTACACATCTATGTGTATGTCCAATATGTACTACCGTACGATTTATTTTATTCCGACCTCGATTTATTTACGATTTTAAAAATTTAATCATATTAATAAACTTATTTTTACGTATAATTAATGACATTTTCACGATGTGTTTAATTGAATTCTATAGATTTAATTTTGTATAGATTAGTTTCCTTACATATCAAAGTTGCTATATTATGTAGGCTACAGAACAACTATTATCTAAGAACGTCTGTGCGCGAGAAGGCTCCGCCCACGCGATCTCTGAAGGGCTATGTCATTAGCGTCCCCTCCCCCTCCCATTTTGGTCCACTATCCACAAATTCTCACCCTCTCAATAAAAATCCTGCGTATGGGGCTGCTAATGTGCACTTTAAAGAACCCATGCAAGTTATGAGTTATTCTTACTCTCCTTCCTTCACCATTTATTATCATTATCATCATCGTCGTTATCGTTATTGTTATTGGTATTGTTGTTACAATACGATTTTCACTCTGTACATAAATATGGATAAAATGTAGACCAGTACTCCAACCATCACTGTTTTTGTTTATATTTAATATTTCTATTGTTTAAAGAGCTTAGGAAACCATGAATTCGATGACGGAATTGCCAACCTGTTATCCTTTTTGGATAATGTTACATTCCCTATCCTCAGTTGTAATATAAATGCGGATGGCGAAGACGCTTTTCAAGGGAAGGTTGGCAAAAGTGCTATAATTATGTTGGATGGTACTAGGGTCGGGGTTGTTGGTTACACGCTGTCGTCCACCCCGGACTTCAGCAACACGGGTAAGTGTGTCCAATTTTAGATGTTCTCACAAAGCATTTAAAGACGTCGTTTTGTTTCGTATTGATCCCGAATCTTGGTTATTTCTTTACTGCCAATAATAAACCAATTAAAATATTTCATATCGGGTCGATGTGCATATTCAAAATATTGTTAAACGTAACATTGGCAACATTCTTTTTCTTTGAAAGTGTCAATGTTCAGAGAAAGAGCATAACATATTCAGAATAATGTAACAGAAAGAATAATGTAACGAAAGAAAGAAATGAGGCAAATTTGTTCCCTTCGATATTTCAACTTGAGACATTCAATACACAATAAAATGGAACTGTTCACTCCATAAGCCACATTTATTTATGCAGCCACTCTTGACTATATTGAATATGTACGCAGTAATATCCTTTGTAGTTCCATAGCCGATTAACTCTTAAATATTAGTATTTTCTATAAATATATTTTTCTTTCGGAACGCAATTAGGCCTGTACTTAAAATGTATAGGAATATGCAGTTAAATTAACTTAATATGAGTCTTTCTCTGAGTTCTCTTTTTGTATAATGAAAAATAAATTGAAGATCTTGTTTTATGTATTTATTCTGCTTTTACAGTGACACAGCACGGATCACATGAACAAGAAAAGAAATGGAAATCAAAACAATATATTTATAATTATGTATATATATAGGCATATATACTAAAAAAAATTAATTGTTGAAGGCAAGAAAATAGATATAGATCTGGTTGTATTGCTAAAAATAAGCAAACCAGGTAATTTTCAGGTCTCATATCACGTTCCTTTATCTTATTTATTTATTCATTCATATATTTTAAGGAAGACTAACGTTTGAAGACGAAGTTGAGGCAGTTCAGAAAGAAGTGAATATTTTGCTTGCTAGTGACGTCAACATCATAGTAGCATTGGGACACTCGGGTATTGAGGTCGATCTAGATATAGCTAACCGAGTCGAGGGCGTCGATATTGTCATCGGAGGGCACACGAATACGTTTTTATACACAGGTAGTCCCTTATAATAATTTTAAAGTCTAACAATGACTAAATGCTTGGTGGGTATATATTTCGTATTGCAAAGCAACATTGATCAGCTTAAGACATGGTACAAAATATACTTAGCAGTGAAATAACTGGACAAAAAATAATTGCACTGAATTAAAGCAGCTTCTACCATAATCGCGCGTGCGCAGTGCATGCGAATTCAACTTAACCGCAAGCAAGTGGAGTAGAATCCGCTTGTACTGACTTATTTTATATGGGTACCGGCATATGCTGGAAAGGTAAAGCGGACTGTTGTGCGGGAGTGGTGAACCCCTCACAGTCTTGCACAGTGCAGTTTGGCCCAAACGCTTGAAGGAAAGAGAGATGAGCACTCCGGCCTGTGAGCCCAGAGCTTCAGATTTCGACATTTACCTACCTTTACCTATTATAGTGTCCCATAGTGAAATCTGTGAAACTCGTTGCCGCGCGTCACTCTGCACTGTGAATGCTGCCATCGACTTTTCATAACCAAATCTCGATTTTCAGGTTCGCCACCATCTTCAGAAACACCTTATGATGTTTACCCAATCGTCGTGCACCCTAACTATGATACCAGGAGAACAGTTCTAGTCGTCTCCGCATATGCCTACGGCAAATATCTCGGTCGGTTGGATGTAACATTTACGGAAGAAGGCAACGTGAAAACATTCAGTGGAAATCCAATTTTACTAGACCATTCTGTGGCAACAGGTATGTTCTGTATTTTATGTAGGCCTACATTTTTTTCTTTTTTAAATCAAATTGGGGAAGAGCGCCACGTGTTTTATTTTAAAAGGATACCGGCGTTGTATAAATTTTTAATAAATTTTGAAACCAGAATTTTTTACCCATCCATGTTATTTGTGCTTGACTTATTTGTGTTGATGAATTGACTAAGTAAAAAGTGTACCGATAAGATGCATTTGCATGGCATTTGGATCAAACCAAAAAAAAAAAAAAAAACTCCTTCTGTCTATTTTTATACTATGTACACAATATAGATATTGAGCGTCGATGTATTAGCTGTAATATTGTTGTTATCGTAGATCCCATAATTGCATCACAAGTCGAGGATTGGGGTGTAAAAGTTGACGAGGTTGGTGCTGAAGTAATTGGACAAACGTTTGTAACTCTTGGAGATGAGGCATGTGGCCTAAGAGAGTGTAACTATGGTAATTTGATAACAGATGCGATGGTGGCAGCATTTTTGCAAATGCCTAATGAACTACAATGGAGTAACGCTAGTATTGCTATCACCACAGCGGGGAGTATTCAGAGCCCAATTAAACCTGGTTAGTTTTACTCACGCCTAAATACGCAGCTAACCTATTTTCAGTATTATGTATATAATTACCGTACTATTATTCAAATAAACGGCCCTCTCGAATCACTGTCTCTTATACACA